TTAACTAAAAAATAACGGTGTGGATCCACCGTTTTAACACATATATATATATATATATATATATGCGCTATTGCGCAAAAAGAGTCAAACTTTTTCACCAATATTTGGTATGACATAATTCGGTAACATATCACCGTATACGTTAAAAATTTATACAATTGAAAAGATTAAAAAATAGCTCTTAATCGTAACTACTTCGTAACTAAGTTTTATTTCTATAAAAGTACAAAATTATTCTAAATAAATATTTAATATACAACTAACTATTCAACACTACTTAAATTATTAATTAAGAGCTTCAAACATAAAAATATCCACAAAAATAAGTGCTTTTTAAAACCTTTATTCGCTCCATACTCTTTTGTACGGTGCAGAATGTTGGAACCTCCGCAAAACTGAAATAGAGAAACAGGAAACATTCCAGAATAAATGTTTAAGAATAATTTTAAAAATTTTCTGGCCAAACACTACTTCAAATTAAGATTTATTAATAAAGGCAATGTGGCTTAACCGTGTTATTAACTATGTCTGAAGCAAAAATGAAAGGAAGAAGTTCGAAAAAACTAAAAAAAAACTATATGTGAAAAATAACTAGAAATAATTCAATTAAAAAAAAAAGCAGTTGACTCTACTTTGAAAAAGTCTAAGTGCTCACAAGTTACACTACTCATAAAAATCGGCTCAATTTTGAACCATATTATCGGTACCATAATCCGTAAAACGGCACAAAATCTCTTTAATCTTACGAATATGTAAGTAGTAGCATGTTTCCGATTTATGGAAGTAACATAATATGAATCAAATTTGTTTCAAGTTTAAAGTAAATTTGAATGATTTGGGGGATTCGGGATGCTGTGAATTTGGTAAATCAACACACCAATTTATACATGTATGAATAACTGCATATAGTTTTTTACTACATAATTACAATTTCCAAAATGTTCCAAAGTTACAATATCTCCCTTGAGAGCAGTGCCGGATTACAAATTTGGCCATGGCCTGGGGCCCCCAATGATTGAGGGCCCCCTTAAAAAAAAATTTTGAAAATAATTTTATAAAAATTAAGAAAAACAATAATTTTTTTAAAAAAATTCAATTTCAAATATATATTAATAAAATACGATAATTTTTTAGTTTTAATTTAACAAAATAAAGTAAAAATTTATTGTTATTTATTTTTATTTCAAATTTGCTTTCTGAAAAGGACAAATACTTTTAATTTCAATAAATTAAAAAAATTACGAAAAAAAAATTTCACCTAAGGGCACCAAAATTTTGAATGGCCTAGGGCCCTGCTTGCTCTTAATCCGGCCCTGGTTGAGAGTAGAAACAGAGCATATTTTTATAAACGTTTTCCTTAAAAAAATAAATAGATAAAAAAAAAATTTCTTATTTCATCATGTTATATCGATTTCTAATTTATTTGTTTCCGAACAGATCATCACGCAATCAAAGCTGACAGACATTATACGAGATCTAAAACACCCTCCTCCTGTTGTGGCCTTCCCATTTCAGAAAGCATCCGGACATTATCTAGCAAGCTTACATCCGGACGAAGAGTTAATTCTGATCACCACCAGAGGCCGACTGCTACGATTTGGCCGGCATCGAGTGGCAGGCAAGTTATGTCCGACGAAGAAATAGCCCTCGCTCGTAGAGTTGGTCGCCTTCCTATTCGAGTCTATAAGCCAGCGACTCGACCTCCGCAAAGACAACGCGGCCAAAACGATATGTCGCGAACAGTGCCGGACAAAGGTGGACAGCAAGATGTGAACATTTATGGTACTTGCGGACTTTGCGGTGAGCAAGTAGACAAAAGGAAAATCAAAGTACACGAATCTAATTGCAGAAAAGTAAGTGATATTGATACAAATATTTCGAATGGACACTTTTTTTATTTTTACACACTCTTATTTATTTCACTTTTCCCTTTTTTTTTCTTAAATTGATACAACTTTTTTTTTAAAAGAATGAATATCTGAAAGTAGGGTTTTTATGCATATTTAAAAATAATTTATTTTGTACTCAAACAATGAAAGCAAAAAGTTCGCAAGCAAAAGTTAGAAATAAAAAAGTGAATGGACACTTTTTTATTTTTACACACTCTTATTTATTTCATTTTCCCCCTTTTTTTTTTAATTGATACAACTTTTTTTTAAAAAAGAATGAATATCTGAAAGTATGGTTTTTATGCATGTTTAAAAATAATTTATTTTGTACTCAAGCAATGAAAGCAAAAAGTTCGCAAGCAAAAGTTAAAAATAAAAAAGTGAATGAACTCTTTTTTATTTTTACACACTCTTATTTATTTCACTTTTCCTTTTTTTTTTTAAATTGATACAAATTTTTTTTGAATATCTGAAAGTAGGGTTTTTATGCATATTTAAAAATAATTTATTTTGTACTCAAACAATGAAAGCAAAAAGTTCGCAGGCAAAAGTTAAAAATAAAAAAGTGAATGGACACTTTTTTTATTTTTACGCACTCTTATTTATTCCATTTTTCCTTTTTTTTTTAAATTGATACAACTTTTTTTTAAAAAAAGAATGAATATCTGAAAGTAGGGTTTTTATGCATAGTTAAAAATAATTTATTTTGTACTCAAACAATGAAAGCCAAAAGTTTGCATATCATATTTTTAACTTATAAAAATATATGCAGTATATTCTATTTTTGCATTGTTCATTTAAATTGAAATTCAACATTAATAAATGAAAACCAAAGTAAATAAAAGAATGATTCGATATAATGTGCAAGGGGTGGATAAAATAATGGAAACACTTCTATACTAAAACATTTTTAGAATTTCTCCAGAAATAACAATTGAATCAGTTTATAACTTCAGAAGATTTTAGATAAGGCGATTTCTCATATATATCAATGAAGTTTAAAGATTTAAAAGTTTTAGGGACCGACAATAAATTACAAACAGAAAATAATTTGATTATTATATGCAATAATTACGCAAAATTTCATAAGCCTAGTTTAAACATTTATGGAAATATGGACATTTTTATAATGAACTCCCTTTTTTCTTATGTTTTTTTAATACAACTTTAAAAATATTCAATAAAATTAAGCAAAATTTTTAGACCAGTTTAAAATTAATTACAAAATTTTTGCATTAAAATTTGAAAAAAAAAGTCGTTTAAAACTGCGCGATATATAATTATTTAAAATAGTTCCTTTATTCTGCGCATGCGCGGAAAAAATTTAATATACTCTTTTTTTCGTAATTTTGTTGTGAATCGTATTTGGCAACTAATGAAGAAAGTCCGATTTGAATATATTAAAAATGTTAAAAGTTTCAAGCAGTTTTCAAAGTAGTTTTCGTACTTTTTGAAAGAAAGCTCAAAACGATAAGAGGTTTTCGATAAACATTATTTTGTATCATAAGGCAGAATTTAATAACAAATGATAATACATAACAATAAACGTTCATACACCAAAATGTGATGTAATAAAGAAAGAAAACAGGCGAAAGAAACGATACGTTCATGGGGGATGATCCCCAGCCTTGGCCAAAGTCCCCAGCAATACCGGTGTCATCTTTTATAAATCTTGCTTCGAAGTACACAATAACATCTATGGAAAACCCCTTATCATTTTCATCCTTCTTTTAAAATGTACGAAAACTATTTTGAAAATTGTTTAAAACTTATTAAATTTTTAAAATATTCTATTGGACATTTATTATTAGTTGCCAAATACGATTCACTATAAAATTAGGATTTTTTTTTTTTTTTTTAATTTCTTCCCTGCATACTCGGTAAAAAAAACTAATTCAATTACTCATATCCAGAACAGTTTTAAACGGGTTTCTTTTTTTAAATTTTAAATCAATAATTTTGAAATCAATTTAAATTGCTCCAAAAAATATGTTTAATTTTTATGAATATTTTGTAAGTTATCGCGAAAAGCGTAAGACAAAAGAAAAAATCAGATTTTACAAAAATGTCCATACGTATTTAAGTCCATACATATTTGCATATAATAACCAAAATAACTATCATAAGTTACAAATTTATTGCTTCAGTTTTTGGTATAGGGTGTTCATAAACATTATTTTCCGTTTGTAATTTATTGTCGATCCCTCAAACCTCTAAAATGTTTAAATTGCATTGATATGTATGAGAAATCGCATGATCTAAAATCTTCTGAAGTTATAAAATGATTCCTTTACTATTTCTGGCGAAATATGAAAAAATTTATCAGTATAGAAGTGTTTTCATTATTTTGTGCACTTATTTAAAATTCTAAAAGTACTTAAAAAGTTTTACCAATCGAACTATTCAATCGTGGTTGTAAAATGAAATACAAAATTAAGACTCTATTCTTTATTTTTTAAACAGTACATAAAATATATAATTTTTTTAACTACGATTTTAAACAAAGAAAATAATTTTTTTGAAGAAGAAGAAGAAGGAAAGAAAAAAATATTTGAAAAAGACAAATATTAACTTCAGAGGGAAACTAAAACAGCAAATTGTTTCTTTTTTTTAAAAAAAAAACTGAGTTTCTTAAAAGAAAAAAAATTATATTTGTAAAAGATAAATATTAACTTCTAAAACAGCAAATTGTTTCATTTTTCATTATTCCAATTAAATAATTCCTCAAAGCAATTTTACTTTAAAATTTAAAAGAATTTTTTTTAAAAAGTATTGAACATTACAAAATAAATTTTAAAACAAAACTTTTACAACTTTAGCAACTTTTACATATGATCAATTATTTATTCTTCAAAAAATATGTATTTATAAGTTGCTTGAAATTAATGATTACTTTATTTTTTTAATTTCAAAATTCTTCTTATCATCACAAGTTTTTACAATTATTCTAAGAAGACAGTAATAAGCATATAATATCTGTAACACTGATATGTCTGTTACTCTATTTATAAATATTTCATTCTTTGGAGTTTAAAAGCAATTTCTTATCACATTTATAACTTTATTGCATTAAAATATTAGTTTAAAATTTAGAGTTTTGATTGATTATAAAAAAAATTCTAACTAAAAGTGACAAATACATTGCCAAAACTGCAATTAGTGCTTTTTAGAATGCAGGTGGGGAAAAAATCTGATCAAGAAAAAAAATTTCAAGCAACTAGTTCAGTTAATTGAGTCTATTATTCACCGAAGTATACAACTTTTGAAAAATCTGAGTAAAAGATACGAGAATATATTTTGGTATCCATTTTGCATTTGTCACAAAAATCAAGAAACAAAAAATACGATCTTTTATTTTAAAGCAACCAGGTTCCCTTAAGTAGTTTCCACTTCTTAGTATTATATTCAGAAATTTATAAATCATGTTTCAGAAAGTATTACGAATAATACTCCGTTGAAGAACGCAGGAGATAGAGTGCTGAAGTTTATCCTGGTGCTGAAATGGTACTTTTTGTAGGACCATCTTACCAAGCTGTTGGGTCGTTCGGGAAATTCGTGCATATTATGCTGAAGTCCCAAATGCTCGCTAAAAATATTCAAGTGGTAGCAAAATTTATACTATATAATCTAGCTCTTGTTTTTAAAAATTAATCATTAAATTTTCTTGTTCATAAAAAAGATTCAAAACTTATTGTATTCATAGAAGTCTGATACTTGCTAGGTGAATATCATCTTAATTGAAGTGGTTGCGAAATTAGGAAAGCCTTAAATAGCTTGATGAGTAGTTTGCTAACACTTGAATATTTTGGGATGACTTTGGAAACTCATCATGATAATAATCTAACGATATCATAGTCATGACCCTATTCTTATTCCTTGCCTCTGTTAGTCACCTCCTATCAAATAAACCTGTTAGTTAAGAAGCACTCCGACTTTGGTAATAATGAGTACTTTGCGTACTTCGCACTCATATGCTGAACACCACCATTAAAATATGCCTATTAGTAAGATTTTCAGTTAAAAAAAGAGAGTAATTAATTATAATGGATTAATTTCAAGTAAAACCAAAATCATTTTAAAAATCTTAAGGAACAAAGCCTCAATATTTCTTACACCACCTTATTTTCAGAAATACAACTCTCATTTTTGACAATTCAGCAATATCTGAATTGTATTTCGTGATTTTAGACGTCAATTCATCACGAGGTTATCATGATTCTTAATGATATGAAGTTTCCAATATTTGACGAAATTGCTCCCTCGTTCGAGAGTAATATCGGTGCATTTTAGAAAATCCGAAACTTATTTTTTCATTCATTCTCTCTGCATGATGGGATGATACAAAAATTAGAGTACTGGTAGGTAAGCAGATTTTTAAGCTCGATTTTCGAAGATGACTAGGTACTCATACTTTCCTTATTTTGACGAAATTTTTACCCTTCAACGAAATTTTTACCCATAAACAGGTAGATGTAGTCAATTCCTAAATTTCACGAAATGTTTATTCGAAATTTATCCCAGGACAGGTTTTTTGTCAATAACGTAGAAAACTTCGTGAATTTTGAGTATCAGTTTTTTTACAATGCTGTCATATAAATTCATGCAATGTTTCACGTTACGAAATTAAAAACTGAAGAAGGAGAGCATCTATTGAAATTTATCACGCATGCGTTAACTTTCCTTGCAAAAACAAAGGGAAAATAATTCAATTTTGATCTATTATGACTTTGTATCTGGTAAAAATTTGATCTCAGATTTCATGTATTGGATTTCACTTGAAAGTTTCAGACTTTTAGTCAGAAAACCTATTATCTTTTACAAAAGCTATATTGTTTCATTTTAACATTTTGTATCGTGAGTGTGTTTCAATGAATCTTATTTAAATATTACGTGTAAGTTACTGTGAATGTATAAAATGTGAGCATTTTATAATATGCCTATTCACTGCATGGAATGTCTGATGT